GGCGGGGCGGTGCTGTGCCACGCCACACCCATGATGGCCCTGGCGCTGCGGGGCCTGGGCTCGCCGTGCTGGGCCATGAGGAATGCGGCCATCCAGCTCTTCAGTGAGTACTGACAGGGAGAGATCCCACACCCCTCAGGGTTCAGAGCCCGGCTGGGGTGAGGTGCAGGGGGTCAGGCAGGGTTGGATGGGACCTGACGCTGCATTCCCTGTCCCTGCAGGCGCCCTCGCGTCCCGGCTGCTGGGGCAGCCCCGGAGCCACGGGGAGGGCTGCCCGGCAGAGGGGGTGAGCCTGCCCGCCTTCCTCGGGCAGCACCCAAAGCTGGGCACTGTGCTGCTGGATGAGCTCAGGGTGGCCACAACGCCCATGCCAGGGGAGCCCCGCCTGCACCCCGCGCTCCACGCCATCCTCACCCTCCTGGCCCAGCTGCATCCTGGCGCTGATGGTTCCAGCAGGTAGGGTGGCAGTGAAGATGCTCTGCCTCAGCCAAGGGCTCCTACAGTGGGAGGGGATCCTGTGGTGGTGGGGGTGGCCCTGGCTGTCAGGGGGTTTTGCTCTGACTGGAGCATCACCACACGGTGCCTTTTTGCTCCACAGCCTCTCTGCTCCCTTCCTGGGGCCGCTGCTGGGACTGGCAGAGAGCCCCATCTACGCCGTGCGAGCGATGGCTGCCAAGGTCCTGGTGCCTGTTGTCCCACCACCCCAGCGCCATGGGCTCCTCCTGCAGCTTGCCCAGCAGCTCCCCACGGCACCTGGACGGATCCGCTCACACAACGCTGTCCATGGGCACCTGCTGCAGATGCAGGCACTGCTGGCCTCTGCCACGGGCACCGGGGGGTGAGTGGTGCCAGGCTGTCCCCCCACCTGCAGCCCCTGTGGTCACACAGCTTTTTGGCCACAGAAGGGACTGCCAGCCCGGCACTTTGCCTGTGGTAAGGCTGTGTCTCCCCACAGGCTGTCGGCCGAGGTGCTGCGCCCTGTGGCTCTGCAGCTGGAGGCGCGGGGCTGGCTGCTCACCCCTGCCCAGCGCTGCCCGCTCGTCCGCGCTGCCTTCCTCCAGGTCCTCGCCCTCCTCCCTGCATCCTTCAGTCCTGGTTTTGCCCAGCACATCCGTGACTCCATCAGCACCGAGCTGGGCAGCCCCCTGCGGGGGGGAAAGCCAGGCTGTGCCGAGCCGCAGGTACTGCTGCCTGCCGGGAAAATCACGGCCATGGCCGGACTGGCAGTGAGCCTGGGCGGGGAGCAAGGACCGCTCGCTCGAGGCTGAGCACTGATAGGGGAATCCTGGTTTTTATTGCAGGTTGGCTTGGCTGTTCTCCACCAAACCATGGCCCACTTCATGTGCAGCGAGGCAGCTCGGCTGGCAGGCAGCGAGCAGATTGCTGCTGTCTGCTCCCTTCTCCAGCAGCCCAATCCCGATGTCCAGCTTGCCATCCTGAGCTGGGTGGTCGCCAGGGAGGGAGGAACATGCAAGGAGCTGGAGAAGGCTCTTGGGCTGACATTGCTGGTATGACAAGGCTCAAAAAGTCACCACATAAAGCAGAGGGTCCCCAGTGCACCACACAGATGGGATCCCTGAGAAGCACAGTGTTCCCCAGGCTGAGGGTGTGTGGGTGTGGGGCACTTGCCTGGCTGACACCCCGCAGTGCTGGGACCACTAACCATGTACCTTCTTTCCTGTTGTCAACTAGGAGAGCTTGCAGTCGGTGCTGCGAGACAGAAGGGACGAGGAGTTCCTGAGATTGTACCTTGAGGCTTTGCTGCATCTTTACAGAGATCCGTCTTCATGGTCTCAGGAAGATTCCCACAAGCTCCAGGGCTCCTGGGCAGCATGCCTGGAGATGCTGCTGCACATGGTGGAGGCTGAGTGTCCTGGCCCCGACCTCCTCTTCCAGGCGCTGTGTGCTGCCAGCCTGCTGCTCGCCCACTGGTAGGTCCCTGCTGCTGCCTGACTCACCCAGCAGATTCTTAGTCCTGGGTGGACTTAGTCCATGGCTGTGGAAACAGAGCCATGACTTGTATAAATCACAGCTTTGCACCTGAGTCCTGTGATCTCAGCGCCGCTGGTGGACTCTGATCCCCCGGCTGGAGCGGGAAGGTGTGTCTGAATTCCCTCTCCTTCCCTGGCCTCTGGCAGGTTCGGGGACGAGGACGGCCGGCTGGTGGAGCGCTGGTGCGCGGCGCTGGAGGAGTGCAGCCGCTCTGCTTCGTGCGAGGTGCTGCGGTTGGCGGCCGCCCGCTCCCTGCAGACGGCGGGGGCCGCTGTGGTGCGGCGATCCCTGCGAGCTGCTCGGCCCTCGCTCGTCCCCGTGGCTCTGCGGTAGGTCCTGAGCCCATCCCCGGGGACGGCTGCACTTAACAGGAGCGGTGCTGCCCCATGGCTGCAGCCCCGTTCCCAGCAGCACTGCTCCCTGCAGCCCCAGCGTGCTGCAGGTTAATTGACTCTGGAAAAGGTGTCCCCTGCAAAAAACTCATTGAAGAAAACCCCACTCATTCAAAAATCACTGGCACCCAAAAGCTTGCAGCCTACAAAAAAATGCGTGGTTGGCATTTTAATAGAAGCAGCCCTTCCCTTATGAGCAGCAGATGACACTGCTGGGTCCCTCAATCCCTGGCACCGTCCCTGCCATCCCAAGCTGCAAGTTCTTGAGTGCTGGTTGTGCCTTTCACAGTCCAGGAGAAAAGTCCCTAAGGGACTCACAGAGACTATGAGTGCTTTCCTCCCCTCCAGGCAGGCTGGGATACTTTGTGTGCAGTGTCCTTCTCTTCCCTTTCCCCAGGCTGATAAACATGGCCATTCACCTCCTGCAAGATGAGGAGCGGGAGGTCCGGCACCAGGCCTCAGGTTTCGCCAGCCTCCTGCGGCAGAACCCCAGGGAGCCACTCCGAGATGGCTGCACCTTTGTGCAGGACAACGTGGGGCTCCAGAGCCTCCTGCAGCTCCTTCTGGGAGAATTCGGGGAGCACCCTGAGACCTTCAACTCACTGCTGCAGCACCTCCCCATCTTAGATCTCAGGAGCATTGTGGAGGAGCTGGAGGCCAACAAGTGAGCTGTGGGCTGGTATGGAGGAGTGCGTGGTACCTCGGAGCTGGCCCTTGGCTTCACTCATGCCTTGGCTTTCCCCCCAGAGCTGCCAGCCTGTACAAGGAGGACGAACCCAACGTTTTTGCAGAGCCAGCCATCCTGGCACAGCAGCTGCTCCCTGTCCTGATGCAGCTCTTAGAGAAGGTGCCTGCTGGCAGCCCACTCCGTGCCTCGGCTCTGCACTGGCTGGAAGCCACAGGCCCCGGTGTGCTGCAGGAACTGCGGTACTGCAAGCACTGCTGGAGCCGAGGTATGGCGAGTGTGGAGCCCCCAGGACAAGCGAGCTGGTGTCCTCATCCCCAGGCCAGCTCTTCCCTGAGAGACCCCACCATGCTCACGGCTCCTTCACCCTCTCTCTCTCCACAGGGACTGCTGCCAGCTGGGGGATGAAGGCGCTGGGCTGTGCCAAACTCCACACCGCCGTGGCCGTCCTGCTGGTGAGGGCCCGGCTGGTGGTACGGGTGCTGCAGGTACTGGAGGAAGGTGCCACCACTGTGCCAGGGCTGGACTGCAGCACCCAGGAGCTGGAGCAGGAACTGGAGCTGGTGCAGGGGCTGCTGGTGCAGCACGGGCTGGCCCCCGTGCCCAGTCAGGGCAATGCACCAGGAGAGCTGGGACCACCATCTGGGACTGCCTGACACCTCCTGGCGTGCAGCGGTGTGACACGAAACACTGCAGTCACACCCCTCTCTGCTGGATGCTCTCTCTGGCCACCAGGCAGGCCTGCGGGTTCGGAGGTTTAACTCAGGGGAATCACACGCACTCACTTTGTTCCCAGTGTTTTCTAACTGTTCACCTGAGGACTCCAGTGCAACATCACCTTGGCCTGTGCCCGTGGCATCCCTGCCCTTGGCTCTGGCTGGCAGGGGGGCCCTGCATGCCAGAGCCTTCACATCCCCTCGTGCTCCTCAGCTCCCACCACCTGTTTTTTTAACCAGTGTTTTCGTCCACGGCCAACCTGGGATTTCATCCCAAATAAAGAGGCCAAGAACATTCCCGGTGTTGAAGCCTTTTAGTTTCCCTGCCCAGGAGGGTGGTGTGAGAGAGAGCTGCGACAGGCAGCAGGAGCCAAACACATCCTGAGGCAGCAAATGGGTAACAGCCATTGGCTGCAGTGAGGAACCCCAAATCCTAAGCCCTGCCCCAAGCCCCCAGCCCCATGGGGCCACCCTGCCTCATGGCCATAGGCAGCTGATGGGGAGGTGACAACCCAATGCCTGGCTGAACCCCCCTCATTACATTCCACAGAGAGCTGGGCAGCTGACAGTCCTCTGCAGGCACTGGGGCTGCCCAGGGGATGGGTGCTGGTTGCCATCCTGCAGCCAGAGTCCCATTGCATGAGGCTGGGGCAGCTGTTCCATGAGCTGCCCTCTCCTTCCCACATCCAGACCTGGGGCTGTCCCCACCCTGGGCTCCCTCCTCCCTCGGCCAGCCTGGCAGGAGCCAGCCCTGGCACAGCACATCCTCCCACCACAGGCTGTGGTACTGCAGGCCAAGGCTGGAGCAGGGACCCCACCAGCGAGGTCGGTTCATGCTGGGTGAGGAGGGGCACCAGCACCACCCAGTTCAGCCTCGCTCCCTCCAGTGGGAGCTGCTGAGCCCCACAGCTGGAACTGGATGCCCTGTGGCACCATCACCCACATGCAGGTTTTGGGTGTCTCTGTTTCATTCCTGTCTGCAAACCACAGCACAAAGCTGAGTCGCCCTGCCCAGCTCACCCGACATTCACTCCAGGGAGTGATCTCAGACACACAGGAAGGACGCTCCATCCTCATGTTGCTTGCCAATGGCAGCTGATTGCATGGCATGATGTCATGGCTGAGCATGACATCATGTCACTGCTGTATCATCTTCTCACCCACATTTAACCTCTTTGTGATGTTCTTCTACCATTAATCACCACACTTCAGCAATTCCCTTATTTTTAATCTTTATAAGAAGGATTTTCTTCCCATTCTTCAACAAAATATTTAATGGTAAACACAGGGAGTCGGATCCAAGGGTGAGCAGCAAACCTGCAGAAGTATAAAACTGTAAAACACACCACATTTTTATTTCATTCCCCCGACCTCCCCAGCATGGAGTGGTGCCATAGCAGCTCACCTTCCCAGGGAGATCCTACACGAAGATGAGAGCGGGTGGGGAGCAGACACAATCCTCCTGCAGCCCCTCCTGCACCCACGAGCCCTGACACCCCACCACAGAGGCAGCCACCCAAAATGTCCTGGAAGGGAAAATTGTTAAGAACTGGGATGTGCCACAAATAATTAAATATAATTTAAAAATTATATGTAGTTTTATATTGCATATAAGAATACTTATTGGCAGTTGTTCTAGATTATCATTGTAGGTCCCTTCCAACTGAAATATTCTATTTACAGTATATTTATTTTTATACTCTATATTACCAATTTAAAGTCTACATTATTGATTTATCTTATAATATTATGGTATATTATGGCATATTATAGTAGTTTTATATATGAATATATTAAGAATGTAAAAGGTAGGTGCTTGAGGGATATGGAAAGATGTTCTTCCATTTGGGCGTGTCGCCCCCCAAATTACCACCTACCTGGCTCCTTGCAGCCCATGTCCAGTGCAGTGGGGATGGTGGTGGGACAGGCCCCCCCAGCATTCCACGCACACCCGCTTGTCCCGGTGCAGCCGGCGGCTCCAGCCTTGCCCACGGCAGGGGGGTCCTACCTGCGTCAGGCGGAAATAGCCGCAGTAGCTGGGGAGGGGGGAGCTGGGGAGCGGGGAAAACAGGGGAAAAAAAGAGGGGAAATGGTGGGAAAAACAGGAGAAATGGTGGTTGGAAGGTAGGGCAGAGGTTGGGGGTTTTTGATGGATGGGGGGTGTAAAGGGGATGTGGGTTTGGCAGGGAAAAGGGGCCATGGTTGGGGAGGTGAGAAGGGTAATTGGCCCTGAGGGGGTGTAGAGAGGCCATGAGTTTAGGAGGTACAAAGGGGTCATGGTTTGGGGCAGCAGGATAATGGCTCTTTGAGGGTGGAGGGTGCAAAGGGCCATGGATTTGTATGGGGGTGCAATGGGGCCATAGTTTAGGGTGGGGAAAAGAGTAATGGCTGGGGGGCACAAAAAGGTCCGGGGTCTGAGGACTGCAAAGGGGCCACGGCTGCAGGGGGGCACAGAGGGATCCCAACCCCACACATACCCAGAGGGCTCCTCCGGCAGTGGCAGCCCAGCTCTTCGCCAGGGATCCCTGAAGTCCCAGCTGAAGGACTTGGGGAGTATCTTGGCTACCTCTGGCAGAAGAGCAGCCGTGAGGGGCATGTGGATGATTAAAGACACCCCAGGACAGGCAGCGGGGACGGCGGCACATGGGGTCGGCCACGGGCGAGGGCATCAGGCGTCCCACGTTACCTTTGGCCGTCCCGCAGGTCGGGTGCTCCCCAGGCAGCCGCGGCGCTGCTTGAGGTCAGGACAGGGCTCCCCTCCGTGCCGGGGCGGGACGGTGACCTGGCGGCTGCGGGCCCTGCTGCCGACCCCACACGGGGAGCTGCACCCGCTCCATGGCCCCCAGGGCCCCACCGAGCAGCCCACGGCTGCCGGGGGAGCAGGAGGGATGGAGGAGAGGGAAAAGAGAGAGCTTCAGCGTCACGAACAGGGGAAAGAGGAGCGCAGGGGAGGGGGAGAGGGGAGGAAGGACAAGGGCCAGGGTGACCCCAGCAGCCCCTCTCCCCTGACCCCCGCCAGCACAGGGACATTGTGCGTCGCTTCCGCAGGATTTTATCCCTGTGCTGCATCGCGCTGAGCTGGGACCCCGCTAATCTCCCCGGAGATTAGGAAGGGCTGACTGTTGCAGTTGTCGAGGGGGCCACAGCCAACCGCCTGCCCGGGTTTGGGTGCCCAGGGCGGGCTGGCTCCGCACCCTCAAGCCCACGATCCCTGTTTGGCACCCCCAGCACAGCCCCCGGTTCCCGTGTCGCTAGTGCAAGGCACTGCCCGTGACAGCGGCAGCGGTGTTGCCAGGGTTTGTCCTGCTGGGCCCCACACTGACCACTCTGAGGCTTGCAATGACAGCGCCACTGTCAGCTGCAGACCGGAGGCCACCCCTGCGGGCTCTCTCATTGCACTGGGACCAGCCGGACATCCAGTGTGGAGAAAAGGGGAAAATTCGGATATTGTTACAAATCCAGCCCAGCCGGCACGCCCAGATGCATCCTGTTACCGCTCAAAGCAGGGGCCAACAGGTACCAGCAAACACCACCACCCAGAGCAGCAGCCCAGGCGGGTGTCCCCAGCCCCTGTGCCACTCACCGGCGCGGCGGCAAGTGGCGTGGTAGTCCTGGCAGCAGTCCCCCGTCCTCTGGCAGTACGAGTCGCAGTAGCAGCGAGCCCGGCGGGCTCCGGGGGCCCAGCACGCGTTGTTCCTGCCCGGGCAGCAGCGGTGCCGGCAGCTGCCCGTGGCACCCACCAGGCAGCTGGTGGCCAGCAGCCAGCCCCCCCAGAGCAGCAGGCCCCGCATGGCACCGGGAGCCTGCGAGCGCCGAGGGACGGCTCTGCCCCGCACCCCCTGGATGCTGGATGAGGAGCGAGGGCTGCGCTGGTGGCAGCGTTGGGATCTCCGGCCGTGCCGCACCGCCCCCGGGCTGGGCGGGGGGACAAAGCCCGTTCCCTTCTGCTCCACCGCCCCTCGCCATCCCGGCAGGGCAAGGGCTTCGCACAAGTAGCCAGGATTACTAATGAAGCACAGTGCACGGGACAACACAGCCCTGGAGCTGCCTGGGAGCACCTGTGAATGGCGCACTGCTGGCTTGGAGCTGACGCTCCCCCGGGAGAACCACCTTGGCACGATGGGGAGCACCGTCCCCCACCTGCAGGGCAGGAGCTGCTCGCTGCTCACTCAGCACCGCCCAGACACCAACGCAGCTGCTAAAGCCAGACTGATTTTATTCAAATTGCGAATGTAAAACAGAATAATAATAAAAAAAAAAAACAACAATGCAACCCTCACTGGCTTCAGAGCCGAAAGCCGCAGGTAAACCGTGCCCGGGCTTTCCTCCTTCACCCTCCTGTGTTAAGGCTGAGCTCATCGCTGGCAACAAGAGGGAGCAGGGATGGGTGGAGCCCTGGCTCCTGCATCCCCCACTCCCTCGGGAGAAGTTTGGCACAAATCGTGTGGGGCCAGCCTGGTGTGGGCAGAGCAGGGCTCCGGCCCCACGGCCACAGGTGTTAGTGGGTCAGCGTGAAGCTCCAAAAGCTACAGGATTTACCTACGGGGCCACGGCGAGGCAGCGGGAGGGCAGATGGGGGGAATGTGGCAGAAGACAGGGGTTTGCACCCCCGGCCGAGGGGCCGAGTCTGCGGGGCGGGGCTGCCCCTCCTCACCCCGGCTCGAACAGCGCCTCGACTGTAAACGGCAAGTGATGGGGGCACCCAGCTCACCCCAACCCTGGCCTGCCACGAGCACAACTAAAGGCCTGGCTGTATGTGCAAATTTGGGCAGCCCCTGCTCAGCAGCCCAGGGCTGAGCGGGACCCCAGGGATGGGATGCTGCACGCCGGTGGTCCTGGTGCTGGCAGGGAGGGAGAAAGAAGCCTGGGGCCACACCAGCAGGTCACTGCCCTCCCGGCCTGGGAGGTGCAGGGCTGTTGGGCTCCCTCCGAGCTGCTGTGACCCAGTGCATCTCTCCCAGCCGGCGGTGTCAGTCCCAGCATCAGCTTGCGACGCCCCATCCACAGCTTGGCATTACACCATGGCTCTGGGCGGCTCTCAGCATCCCCAAAAAGAGCTGCTCCCCAGGCAGTCAGCAGCTCCTGGCTGTCAGGAGCCCTGGGGCCACTATCCCAGGGGACACCTCACCCTGGATAACCAGCACTCACGCCTGATGTAGCACCAGGGGGAAGTGTCAACAGGGGATTGAAGTGGGCATAACGGGGATGCTTGGGGTCTGGATGGTGGGATGCTGCTCCCTCCCTGCTCCTTTTAGCACATAACTAGTAATTTAACCTGCTCCAGAGCCTGTTCCTAAAGATAAAGGTGGCCAGGTTTGGGGGGAGGGCATGGGGGGCAGAGCTGGTCCTGGCAGCACCTGCAGGCGGGTGTGGGCTTGGTCTCTGCTCTCCAGCTGCAGCCCTGCGGGGCCCAGGAGGTGGGGCCCCTTGGCCCGGCCCCTCAGTCCGTTTTCCACACCTTGTTGAGGAATTTGACCACCTCATCGTAGATGATGAAGACGATGGCCACGTCGAGACAGACGCGGCCCAAGCGAGGCACCGTGCCCTTGTAAAACCTGCCGGGGATAAAGGGGGCCGTGGGGCTGGGTGCCCTCGCAGCCCCCTCCCTGCCCATCCTGCCCCCCAGCCACCCCCACTGCAGAGCTTACGCCAGGGGCCCTTCGTGTTTCATGATCTGGTAGGCACAGTCCCAGGTGTTCTTGTACTTGTGCGCCTCCAGCCCCTGTGGGAAGGGGAAAGCAGGATCAGAGGCCAGAGCCAGGGGTGCATCTGGGGGGTTTTGTGGGGGAGGCAGATAGCTGGGGGTGTGCCATGAGGAACTGATCCCTCTTCGCTGCTGCGAATCAAACTCGAGAGGGACATCCCCATCCCTGTGCAAACACTTCCCAGCACCAACCCCACGTATCTCCCAAGCCAAATCCCACCACCATCCAGTGCCTGCCCCAGGGACTGTGTGAAACAGCTCCCAGGCAGCGGGTGGCCCCAGCCTGCTGCAGGCAGAGTGGTCTCACACCGTGTCCTGGCACTGTACCTGCATCCTGGTCTTCACCACGTCCAAGGGGGTGTTGCCAAAGACACTCGCAGCTCCAGCAATGGCTCCAAACACCCCTGTGATGAAGGGGTTGATAACCTTGTTGGGATTGTCCCCTGGAAAGAAAGACAGTTTGAGGACAGAGTAGTGGTGGGATGAAGCACTCATTCCTGAGGGAGCCCACAAGAAGATCCCAGGTCTGGCTGCTTGTGGTCATGGTGCTGAGCTGGGGGCTGGAGCGTTTGAAGGGGACTGTCCAGCAGCAGCAGCCCCACAGAGCCCATACAGTGCCCAGGGACTCAGGGTGGGTGTGAAAGTGATGCTCCAGCACCAGGACCCTTCGGCCCCATGAGCTGGGGCCACCCCACCCTGGTTTTCATCTTCCTGCATCCTGAGTGGCGGAGCCATGAGAAGTAGGGGGTGTGCTGATGGAAAGTCCATCCCAGCTCCCAAGGGTGGGCTGGAGGAGCCAGAGGCATAGCCAGGGTGGCCTGGGGGGATGAGGGCACCGTACCTTTGTACCAGTTCTTGAGGGAGGTCATGACGAAGAAGCGGATGGCTTGGTTTGATCCTTGCTTGAGGACGGTCGCAGTTAAGCCCTGGTAGGTCCCCTTCAGTCCTGCAAGAAGAGGGTGTTGGAGGAGAGACCAGCCTCAACTGGCAGAGAAAAACCTCCTCAGGCCACACATCCCAGCCTGTGCCCATCGGCCACCTCCCAGCCCGTCCCCACAGCACGGGAGTACCCAGGGGGTCAGGGTGCCGCTTCCCCGGACTCACCCTGTTCCCGAACAATCTCCCGGACGCCATGGAAGAAACCACGGTATTTGGGGTTGGGAGAGGTCTGGTCATGGATAAACTTCACCTACAAGGAGATGATGTGCTCGTCCTGGCTGAGGTAAGGGCAGGTGTGATGGCCCCAAAGGGCTGTTGGCCACCTCTTGCCTTGTGCCAGGGACAGTCCCAAGACCAGAGCCAACCCATGCAGCCAGGCAACACTGCAGAGACCACAGGGGAAGCCTGTGCCCATGGCCAGCAGCGCATTTTGCAGAGCAAAACCTGAGAAACTGCCACTGCAAGCAGCCACGTGGGGTTTACAGTCCAAAAATGGGTGACAAGATGGCTCCTGAGTGTGGGGCTCCTCCCCAGAGTGGGAGAAGGGCCAGGACCACCTGACCTGACCTCCGAGGGCTTTCCACCATCAGATCCTGCCCTACAAAACTGGCCTGAGCAAACTCATGTGGCCTTCAGGTCCCCAAAAGTCAGGCACCTCTGGCTCTTGCACCCTCCCCACCAAGCCCAGTGAGGAGTGCCAAGGCAGGGGACACTGGCAGCTGCCTCCCACCCACCTTTATGGTCTCCATGGGGCAGACCACTGCCACAGCCTCGGCCACGCCAGCCCCCAGCCCGCAGATGAGGCCCCGCGTGCTGTCCAGCCGTCCCTGCTCGTCTCTCATCTGGTTGCTGAGGAACTCGAACATCCCGAACCTGCAAAGGAGCCACTGTGCCAACCCCTGGGCACCCGGACAGGGGGCTGCACCCCCCTGCTCTGGGTCTGCCTCCAGGAGCAGCCACGCACCCTGCAAGAGGATCCTCCCGTCTGGGAGAGCGCCTGGCCTTGGTGAAGCACCAGTGGAGACACCGAGGGCAAGACCACCCCCCGTCTGCTGCTGTCGGGGGTCCCCCCCACTCACCCCAGGCCCTGGGGACACACCTACCTGACGGCAGCCTTGGGGATGGAGCCGTACAGCAGCGAGCTGAGCCCCCGGTACAGCCCCCGGATGCCATGGTCACGGACAGTCTGCTTCACACAGTCCCCTGTGGCAGAGCACAGCAGTGCCACTGTCACCCGCCACGCTGAGGACCACCCACCACCGCCCCAGCTCCAGCCAGGCTTCCCAGGAGCCCCCAAACCCAGCGAGGGGCTGGGGCCCGCGCTGGGCAGGTGCTCACCGATGCCCTTGTAGCGGGGAGGGTTTGCCTTCTCGTCCAGCTGCAGCTGCGTCTTCACATATTCGGTGGGGAATGTGATGCAGATCTCGATCCCTCCGGCCAGGCCACCTGCACGGGAGAGGAGGGGCCACTGGGGCAGGAGCAGCACCAGGCCAGGGCAGTGGCTGCTGCCGCTCCAGGATGGCTGAGCCAAGGGCTGCTGGCAGCCAGGTCTGGGCTGGGACACCATGTGCCTGTCCTCACCAAAACCCTGGGCACTCCATACAGCAGCAGGGCCCTGTGCCAACCTAGTGTCCTGCACGGGCATCAGTGCCCAGCCATGGCAAGAGACGTTGAGGAGACTGGCCAAAGTGGCTGGAAAACCAGGCAAAACACCACACCCACAGCCGCCTATTTGGCAAGTTACCCCCCAAGGGCACCTGTTCCTCTCCAGAGCCCCACACCCCCAGGTGAGCTGCCAGCACTGGGATTTATAAACCCAGCGGTGCTGCAGCAGGCCCAGCACCACTCCCCACATGGTGGGAGCCCATCTGCAGACCAGCCATGCCAGCAGGAAACACAATTATCATCAAGCCTGTCCGGCTGCCCCGGGCTCCTGCAGCGGCGGCTGCTGGGGGCTGATTACAGCGGCTGCAGCCTCTCCTGGTAGCCCAGGCAGCAAGGGGTGCCGGCTCTCAGCCACGGGGCTCCCCACAGCGTGGCTGCAGCCCTTGCAGCTGGGCTGGGGGAGCTGGGCTCAGCCCATCCGGCCACGACGGATCCCAGGACATTTCCTCGCATCAAAGCACGGGCAGGTCCCGCCGAGCAGCGGGAGCCCTTTGTGCCGCAACAAGGAGGAAGTGCAAAGCCAAGCCCGCTCCCTCAGGATCACAGGGCAAACCCTGCTCAGGGCAGAGGGCGCTGCCACTGGGGTCAGCACCCACCAGAGCATTCCTGAGGGTGTCCCTGCTCCTTGCCCAGGGAAGGTGAACCATGCCCTGGCCCTCAGGATGGGGAATGGCGTGGGGTCAGGGGGGCTGTCAGCTCCCAGTCTCACACACGGCCTCCAATGGCCCCTCCAGCCTGGCCACGTCCTCGGTGTGAC